TTACCAGTTGGGTTAGAAAGACCCTAAAACCAATACTTATTCTAACCTTAATAAATTTTAACAAAAAATTTATTTTACAGAACCTCATAGGTAAGGAGTCTATCGATCTATTATTTCTTTGTTTTAAATATTGAAAGAGATGTTTACTTGACGGTTCACATAAATTAAAAGTGTATTTTATCAGTATATATATACATAGAATTATAAATATTTTATTCATTACAATATAGGTGGGATAGTATGGTAGCGATCAATTTGATTTAATATTTGTTATAAGAACTTAATCTGAAAGCTGTATAATCACTTCGATATGATTATTGACAGTAAATCCAGTCTAAAACGTTATACAATCCTACATCAATTAAATAAACTAATATGAAATATCTAAACTATTTCGATTACATACAATAATTGAAACTCAATCTATTATACTAATGAATTCAAATCCAAGTTCTGTTTATAATTCCGACTGATATGACCAAACAAATATATATATATATATATATATATATATATATATATATATATATTATAATGAAAAATGAATTGGATTGAATAATACAATCGGTAAACAAATAAATTCACTTATATTAGTACCTTATATTTATTCACACTGAGATTACAATAGAAGAATAATTGGACGACTTGTACTAATTAGTTCAATAATGGAACAGCTTATTCAGTCAGAAGTAAATCAAACAACAATATGCATTAACTCATATAGTAAGGATATGTACTGGTATTTCGATAGGGAAAAAAGATGAAGGCAATGTTAAAGTTCTCAGTACTGGTTGGATCTGTTACATAAAATAATAAAATATGTTATTTGCTTCTTGAAATACATCTGTAAAGAGTATCATGTCCATTTGCTTAAATGTTAATTGGCTGTCAAACACCATGATTTGTCTTCGTTCATATCAATGGCTGAAGACACTTGGAAAATATTGAAATCTTGAACAAAAAGGACTACAAAGATGATCACAGAATTTTTTAGAAGCTTAACAATTAGATTAATTAGGGATTAATAAACATATCGAAATCGGTCCAATTTTCCAACAATTTAGAAACATTATAAACAAGTACCAGGTCAAGAGTCGGGTCAGTTGAGAACACATTCAAAATAAATATTCAGACAATGACAGTAAAAAAATATCCGCAACAAACTATAAAATTAAATGTTGATAAAACAAACTGTTAGTCATATACGGAGACATTCAAACAGTTCACTTCTATCTGAAGTTTGTGCTGATGATATCGTATAGATAGACAATGAAAACTTACTGATTAAACCAGACAGCTTAGAGAATGTAACTCCACCAAATAAGTTTCATTAGTTCTAATGTTCCTCATCTCTCAATATGATTTGAACCCATTTTGTTCAACTGAACGATAGTTAGATCATATGTTATATTATATTCTGTAGTTTTATCAAGCTTAATAATTAGTATAAATGTTCGAATCTTTAAAATTCTATCAACATGATAAAGAAGCTACTATCAAGTCCATGAAATTGATAAAATTTGACTATTACCTAAGTAAACTGGAATTTACAGCAATACATCCAATCAAAAGATTAAAACCGACCAATTATTCATTTATTTTAACACATAGATATTGGTACAAGGAGGCACCAAATACATATGTGCCACACGAATCTCAATTGATTTGTGTGAGGGCTGTGATACTGCTCGGGTGCCCAAACCGAAGCAGGTGGTTTTCTTAGGGGGCCACACCCCGAGCCTTTGACCTGAACGTCTGACCCACAAGGCAGTGGAGCATCGTGAGGAGATGCAGTCCCATGGTAGCCGGTGACCAACGATTGGTTCATACGCCATTTGTTCCTTCAGGATAGTGGAGCCAGCCCATGTGCACCATTGGTTTGGGATCCGGTTGAAGCGCCGGAAATTCGCTTTTCGTCCTCTCATTTTCGTAAACAACACCCCCGCCATGAGAAGGTGGGTATCTAACAATTCATCATTAATCAATGTCATGCTTTACCTATATTTAGAGAATGGTTTTCTATATTCGTAGTTTCCCATCAGAGACTGAACTTAGGTAGGTAGCAATCGAAAATCAGGAAGCACTGGACAGATGTTTTATCCTAGCACAGGGCTCCACAGCAGTGCTCATCCAAGATACCACAAAAAATAGGACTCAAAACCGTCAGGCCTTGTGGAGAGGACAAAAAAACACATGATAATTGTTAATAAAAAGGATTTTGAAAGTTACTGAATTAGTAGTTCTGAATCATGGTCCGATTATAGTTTTTTAATCTCCTTTATTAATTGCTTCTAAACTTTTTTCCGATCAACAGACAATGCTTCCAGCAACTTATATCATTCATTTTCGAGGTGGTCGATTATACAGTATATTCGGTATTTCTTTCTCCTCAATCCATTCTATTAATCACTGTAACGTATATCGAACAGATTTCGATAATGAATAATCCCAGGTTTTATATAGGTAATACGATCGATATCAGAGAATGACATGAATTGGACTATTGGATACAAATTAAACAAGTCTTCATTATGCAAAAGCCTAACCGACAGACCAAGGTAACAACCAGTAACTTGACAGTATGCACTTAAATATCTGTAAAACAAATATAAATATTATCGTCAACATCGTGCACTACTCTTAGTTGAACAAACAGATTAGGCCTAGATGTTACTTATAAAATTCAAAAAAGTCTACGAGCCGCCTACATTGTAAAATTTGGACATGTTAATATGATAATAATATGAATGAACAGTTAAACAACTTCATCAAGAACAAAGTATATGGTAATGAAGCGGTCAACAGAAGCTAACTAAAAACAACTTTATGAGTAAAAGATTATCATGAGCATTAATCTAAAGTTTAAACCCTTCATTTGTAATTAAAAACAATTCATCTACCCTAATTAGCTTTATTTAAGAGTATTAGTTTTACCCATCAATTATTACCATTATTATTGTACTAACATTGTTCCTTTCATTTTTCGTTGTTATTTTATTTGACCTTATTTCATTGACATCTTTTACATCCCTTATTTTGTCGTATAAAATTCTATTTACAGTGAAAAGTATTTTGTAAGGTATTTAATTGAAACCAAAAAATCCCCTAAAAGGCGAGTCAGCCAGTCAATCAATGGCGAAATAAAAACTGTCATGAATGTATATCGATAATATTAGTCTAACTCGATAATAAATTAACATGATGAAGGAAAAATAATGTAAAGTTAACTCGAAAACGAAACATAAGAAACAGTTATAAAGAGCTAAATAAGGTTGAGGAGTGAAAATTTTGAAATGACACACGTCAAGATTTAGAGAATGATGAAAATGAATGCAACTCTACTATTGATGTTGGATCCAAATCGTGCCACCCTCCAACCATAACTTATGTTACAGATCCCCCAAATGCCCTGGTACGACCGAGAGTGGGTAAAGTCCGCTCTCCCTCTCGAAATGCTCTCACATGGCCATGCGTATATAGCCTCTGCCAGGGAAGTCCTACTCACTGCCTTCTCGTGGCATTACTGTTGTTTACGAAAATGAGAGGACGAAAAGCGAATGTCCGGCGCTTTAACCGGATCCCAAACCAATGGTGCACATGGGCTGGCTCCAGTATCCTGAAGGAACAAATGGCGTATGAACCAATCGTTGGTCACCGGCTACCATGGGATTGCATCTCCTCACGATGCTCCACTGCCTTGTGGGTCAGACGTTCAGGTCAAAGGCTCGGGGTGTGGCCCCCTAAGAAAACCACCTGCTTCGGTTTGGGCACCCGAGCAGTATCACAGCCCTCACACAAATCAATTGAGATTCGTGTGGCACATATGTATTTGGTGCCTCCTTGTACCAATATCTATGTGTTAAAATAAATAAATAATAAAATCCCAACAAAGAATTTCATACCTATCAACACTTGTTCTGAATACCAACTAACTTACGGTTTAATTTTATATCTTTACTTGACTGCTTATAGCTTTAATTCTAACCTATTCCCATGTAAGCCAGTAGTGACTATGTGAAAAGTTGGCAGTTAGGATTAAGTTGAATTTGTTCCAACTATCATGAGGGATCATTTTTAACTGATCTAGGGCATTTTTATGTTTCTGTGATTACATTTCTGGGTACATAAAAATTAGTTCCATTTACACTACTTCTTAATGTGTTCCGAGGACAAATTCACTTTCAATTTGTACAAAGGGTTAACAATGTCCACGGCTCCAACTTGTTCGTTAACAATCTCCTTCATTATTACCGTTTACATTTGCTCCTGTTATTCACTGATCCCTTCACACCAACCATTTTAACTATTAAATGGTGAATGTGTTTAGAACATAACGTATGAGATGGAACAACTGGGTGAGCAATCGTGTGGTAAGACAGACTCAGTAAAATAAGGCAAATCAAATGATACGTTTCTCATATATATTTATAACATATCTTGATCTCATTTACACACATTCAGTATTTTGGTTAGAGTAGCAAAGACATGAAAATAACCCGTAGTCTTGCCAATGAGAATCCCATAAAATGTGGGAATAAATTACCAATGCACTACAGTCTATATTTTATTTACATAGCTCGACATTTCCAAGTGCGCACGCTTGCGGAAAACTACAAACTGACTAGATTGTCAGACGTTATGGAATGAACGCGAAAAAAAGATTAAAGTATCTACATCAAAAAAATATCTATTTATATTTAGTAGTAATAATCACATCAACATAATGATATTTCTCTGGACTGCCCGCCTCCAGGAGGGAGTAAACAAACAAACCAATAGACAGGAAATGACTAAAAGTAAATGTAATTTGTACACATGGATTAAAAGCAGTCTGAACGAGAAGACAGAGGAAAGAAAAGATAAAAGTAATGTTTAATTATACAAGAATGATGATGTAAGAAATAATCATCTCTTTATACAAAGTTTTGTGTATGGTAAGCAGGGAAATTTATGTAAACTAAACAATTATCGCTGCAAATTAGTTTTGTCGGTGGTGAACAAACTGATCCACTATGTGGATACTTGGTCATCATCATCACAGGAAGCAGATAGATAAAAAGCATGGAAAATTTTAAACATTTCATATGTAGCACTACTACTTCACAGTAATAGTAATAATTTGACTTATCTAGAGTTCTCTTGTAAACTTGATCGTCCATTTGTAGCATTAACTGTTGCTGTGTACGTCAAATCAGTGGAATCAGGAATCCATTTGGAACTGGCAGTTACACACAATTTTTCCATGGGTAAAATTTCAATATTATGAACACTGTTACCACCACTAGCCTCACCAAATTCAGATCCCAAAGGTTTCGTTCGTGTTTTTAACCGCCATTTAAAATATTCATAAACTGACCAGGATAAAGCAGTGCCGGGAACAGCTGTTAGGATTCGAGCACTTATACCTCTAGTGAATCCTCTAAAACCAGTCGTTTGGTATACATACATCGCTGTGCCAAACAACCCTCGGAATTCAGGTTTAGATGACTGTGTAAAGTGACCAAGACATATATTCTTTGAAAAACACCGATCCTATGAGTGGTTGTAAACAAAAAGCGAAACCAGAAAATAGAAATGAATTGTAAGACTTATGAAAAACATTTCATATCGAAATATCACTGAACTCAGATTAGTTTTTAATTCAGCTTTGAGCTACACAATATGTGGAGACTACTGATATACAAATTGGAGTGAGTGGAGCGAGGTTCAAAATCAGAAAAATATTATTTGAAAATCAAATGACTTGATTATTAAACCACTGTTCTTATTCACCAGAAGGATGAATTTAACCAAAATTTACATTTCTCGAGTGCAAGTGACATCGGGTGAAAATATCAGGTACTAGTGAGCAATTAATAATAAAATTCTAATAAGAGATTCCTTAGAAATTCATATAATGTAACTGGAGAATGGGAATTGACGACTGGATACAATATCATGAATTGTTGGATACTGGTGAATATCGAGAATCCAAATCGATTGTGAAAATCACTAGATCGAAAGTCCGGGATCTATGTATTCCATCTTATAAGAACAGAATGCTACTTAAAATTCGCAAGTAAATATGAAGCTATTGATAAATGGAAAGAAATTGTGGGCGATTCTACGGCAGGTATCAATTTATGAAATAGGGGAACTTCCATTTTTATTGCCACACAATAATATGATGGCCTATTGTTTGAAATGACGGTCAATCTGTTAAAGCTTCCCACAGTTAATGAAAATTTCGGTCTAGATTTTATAAACGTACAATGTTGAGTACCTTAACGTTTGTAGATTATAGTAAAAATTTGTGGCACGTAACAATACTAGTTTAAAATATATTGTAAGAAACACTTCGTCTTTCCAAACAGAAATATTCATGAAGTTACCTGTGTATTCAGTAAAGTTTTACAAACATCTAACGGATTTGTGAAAGCAGCAGCAAAGCAACCAGCTATACCTCCGGATACAACGTGAGTCCAAGGTAGATACTGACGATTTGGATTTATTAAACTCTGAGCATGCTCATAACAAACAAAATGAATTGTCTGATAAGGTATATTCATGGATAACTGTGTAAAATAAGCTCTGTACAATACACCGAGTCCTTCTGTTAAACACACTCGACGGAGACAATCAAAAGTGTTGTGGTAAGGACTATTGTAAATTTGCAGACGTTGTTTCACAGCTGTGTTATTTGAAAAGTGAACAAAAGCAGGAAGACACAATTTATCGATTACCTAGTAAACATTTATTGTTATACAATTATATGTTGGTTTCAATATACTGAATCGAACTAAACAAAGTTAAATGAATCCTCAGAAAATACTGACAAGATATCGGTGATTAACTCCCCAAAATAATGCATATAATCCAACATGAGAATGAATTAAAATGATAACTGATCTATAAACACGAGTTTGGTTTAGGAAACATAAACTGTAAATCGAATTTCATGACTCAAAATTTATGGTCGTTCAGTAAACAACTGGTAATAATCTGATGAAAATAAGACTTCAACTGAGTGATTATATTAAACTGTCAGAGGTTCTTCATTCCAGGATATGACTCCAATTATTATTCATTAAACAAGCAATACCAAGACGATATTGACAAAAGATGAGAAATGTACGGAAATATACTAAACTTTCTGTCCGGACTTCATAGATCTTTTGTCAACATAAAAATAACTCAGCTTACTTTAAGCTATAACTAACCTTTCAATAAAAGTTAAATCCATTGGTTATCATATACCTAAAAACTCCAAGGTCAGGCTATTTTATTGCTTGGTTCTCTACTATTTGCTGTGAAACTGTCACATTAATTTTGTCGTTCTTTTCTATTTTTTTTTACTTGGTAACACTGTGTCAATGTGACAACCCTAAACAAGCTAAATTTATTTGTAATTGCCAAATAGTGAAAAAATAATACCAGATACTTCTTAACGGTGTGATATCACATGAAGTACAGTATTGAAAGAGCTACTTTTTAATATATCTTTAAAGTGGTCTCTAGGAGATTGAGCAATTTCGTGGCTAGTCATTAGAATAAACGAATAACAATGGTGATGTACAAAGACGGAATATAAAATGCCTTTGATCTTTATATTACATTCATGAAGTACCTTGTGTGATATTGTTTGACACATTTTCAAGACACGGTGATATAAACATATAAACGGAGTAAATGCTTTTTTATGGGAAAAAACAGTAAGGTTTTTAACTGTTGGACTGAATTCTTTGTTAAGCAAATCTACGCTTCTTGGATGAATCTTTTGATATGACTAAGTTTAGTGGTTGGTTACTTTAGTTTGTATGATACACGGATAACCTTAGACGACAAAAGATACTTTCGATATATTATTTGCTTACTTACCGTCTGCAGGAGTCATGATAGCATCGTGCAGTAAAGTTGCACAAGTCCCAGCTATCATATGATTTACATGGGTCGATCCTATGGGAGCTGTGGCTAAGGTTGACTTCATTTTCTCATAGCATCCAAAATAAGCAGCATGCGCCGGACCAGCACCCCAGATCACTGCACCACTACCTTTTAGCGACCCTGGTACTCCTTCCTGAAGGATTAGACGATACAGACCAGTGAGTAAACCTGGGTAATTAGAACTACCAACAGGCCTTAGACACTGCATTCGAGTCTTGAACAAAGGGTTAAAAGTTGAATTAACAAAACTTACTTTAACACAGTCGACAGGATACATGACAATATGTTCCATTATACCTGCACATGCACCTGCAAACATGTGTTGTGGCAGTGGACTAGTACTGGGTAAGGACTCATAATCATCGGAATCCTGAAAAGTAGAAGATACACGTATGCTTATCGAACTAAAGGCAGACGTCAACGAATTACAATGAGACAAGCAGCCACCCTTGAGCAGATATGAGGTGGTCATTCGATATGACAATCAAGTGGTACATTAAAACCTTCTTTAGTACAACTCAATGCAAATGTTAATTTGTAATCAGGTTGCTGTCAATTGATCATAAGACTAGAACATATAAAGGCCGATCATTATTTAAACTGGATATATTCCAGTCCTTTGTGAATTAAGAGTTGAAGGAATTACACAGGCTTTTGCTTAGATACTCCATAACAATACGCAGAAACAATATTTTTCCGATCAAACTAAAAAAAGTGGTGCAAATACCGAGTGACTATCATTCTGTTACTTTCGTTAATAATAAATACAATGTACTCGTACGAAACCCCGAAATCGAACTGAGAATGTTTGTAATCTACATAATGTGTGGTTCCAATGTTACAGCTCTCAGGAGTGACTCACAACCTAAATAAACAAACTGTATAACCGAACGTTAAAGTTATCCTTTCATACGCTTATTTTTTCAGAATATATTTGATTTAAGAAAAACGAAATAATGCACGACTTGGATTACCAAGCTTATTGTCTGGAAAAACATAAGTAAAGACGGATAAATAAATTAAACCTAGAGAGCACAATCTAACTATTGGCATTCAGGCTGCGAGCCCCTGTTTAAAAGGTGACTCGGATATCCTGGAAAAATTACGGACGGTAGATACCTATGCAATCCCAGAACTCCGAGGTTTATCATAAAAAAGCGGCTTGAAAAGCCAGACCTCGTTACTCGGTCCTGATCTGATTTTGATGTATAGAATACGAATAAGTGATTTTGGACCTAATAAATCCTTTTCCCTTCCGAAAATCAGGACATCTCAGAGGATATAGCAGGTGAGTAGAAAAGCCAAGAACGAACAAAATACCCATGGCATACAGGTTTTCACATCGAGTTATCAATTCTTGGAACCTGTTACCCGAAGCACCGGTGTCTACATTTTCAATTGACTCATTCGAAAGAAGAGTAAACACTCACAGTAGCATACTAGAAAAGAAATAACATAGGCCATGAGCCTTCTGTCCTTACTTCACACATCTGAATCTGAGAAAAATATCCAAATTATATTTGACAGGAGTTTAAAAATATCTATTTGAGCCAGAGATTAACAAGAAAGACAGTAGAAAAAGTATATGTCAAGCTCTCTACAATGAGTAAATCAATGCCAGGAATGCTATTGTGGATGGTCTGGTAAATCCTATTATTACGTCATATGTTGTGCTGAATAGATCTACGGAGCTTCAGAGGATTTTACTCAGCACTCCAAATCCCTCCAACTCTCCCTCAGCTTCTCTACTGGGGAACTTAAAAACCTGTATATCTGCTGTAATAAGTTACTTGTTGAAATAAGTTAACGAATATCAGGAGTTTAGTCATAAACTGGTCAAAAAAGCCGAAGTATACTACACCAAAGACAATTTTTGTCTCAACGTAGCCTGGCGGCTTAGCATGACTTTTCTTAGCTTGAGAGAACTGCTATTGTGATACAAATAGGTTACTTGATCATGCTTCAATTAGCTCCAATAGAAATGGTCTAAAACATATGACGCTACTAAGATTGCTAGACGCCAAGTAATGCATAGATCCGAAAACTTTGCGGAACCGTGTATTTATGTGTAACAGAATCCAGGATGTGCACAAACATCCAAAACTACCTATGTACGGCAAATTACCTCATCCACCATGACCGTAACAAAACATGCGGATGTAGCGGAGGAATCGTCTTTCGCTCATCCGACCTAACAGATAATCCAGTTTTCGTTTGTTAGGTCATATAACCAGGATATGCTTAATAAAAACAGAGACTAATATTCTTCTCTACTCTTTTTTTCGAATACATCTGTGAAGTGATTGATCATCATATTTCGAAGAAGGCAGTTCCCAGTCACTTCGATTCCTGATAGTCCTAGGTATTCAGTAATCAGGATAGTAGACCGTTTGATCTATGTTAATCCTTGCAGCTTGCTTTGCACTTGAGATGCAGCTTCTTCTTCAAAGTGTTCATTGATGGAATTGATACTACTTGTTGGGATGGAGCATCTCGATCATTCACCACTCAATGAGAAAAACAGAATCCCTCTCTAAGTTTATTTGGTCGAGTTTTCGAATCTTCTTGTGGTTACCTAGGTGATTACTAGTCCTGGAAGCAACAAAAATATATGACATGCTTACATTCGACTTATTATTTAAGATACGGAATACCAATACAATGTCACTTTGAGTTCTGCAATAAGGGGAAAAGTTTAAGCTTTTTAAGCGCTTATGAGAGCTTGAAAACACATGTTACAAACCTTACTTCCACACGTTGGAAATTCATTCCTAACAAGACAAAAGCTGTCTGTTTGAATGGAGTAATTTAAGTTAGATCTCATATATGTGGGTTGTAAAACCTGAAACATCTTCGTCAAAACACTTGAGTGCTCGATGAAGTCATCATAACACTCTAAAACCACTGGCATCTGCCCCATTCTAGGTTCGGAGAAGCAACGCGATCTTCTGTTAAATAGCGCTCGTACTCACGACAATATAGACATCCGTGTAAGACCTGATATGTCTCTTGCAGATAAAATAGAAAGGAAGATGGTACTAGCTGACCTAGAAACCCGTCGAAAAAACTGTGAAAAAAGTCTACGATCAGTGGGTTTTCGTATAGTCAGGTCTTCGAAGCGAATGCTACCAAGGCCTATGTTCTCCTAGGAGTTTTATATACCAACGCTCGTAGTCGAAATAATAAACTCTATAGACTAGAAGCATTAGTGAACAAATTAGGGCCACTTATTGGAGAACTAACATATCAGCCATTCAGGAGTGCGCTGCCAGAACAGATTGGTCGATAGATGCTAGCTTGCCAGTTGAAGCGCCACGGTATAAATGTGGAGGCAAGTTTAGTTTAGTTATGTCCTCAATTATACAACCAGGTAGAACGAATAACAGTCCACCATGGATAACTAAACAAGCGAAGAAACTTCTTAGACGTAAGAAAAAGCACTGAAATATGTTAATATCTCCTGGCTTGGAACAATACAGATCCGATTATTGTAAGATTAGGGATGCTTTTAAAGTGTTAATAAGTAAGACTGTGCGATCATGTTAAAACCGGTCAGTTAAGATTTGTAGATATATTCCGAAATCGTTATCCTTGTATATAAAAAGGCGAACTTCGAGAAGCGATGGAATTCCATCACTTCTGTACACGCTGCGACAGATAGTGGTTTGTTTTAAAATGTCGAAACCTCTGCAGTGACTGCGGCTTATGCAGTTTTGACCTTGTCCGGGGACTCGTGGTCGAGGTCAGTGTTGTGCTCGGGTTTTTGGTGTGAAATTATCGTAATCATGCCTTAGTATTTTAATATTGTAACCCTTTAAAATAAAGAAAACAAACATAGTCCAAAAATCATGTAGACAAACGTAATGTTAAACATAATATCAACCGGTAATAACTAACTATTACTGGTAATGACCAGTTGTAATTATTACCACCATACCATTGATGTTATATCTCTTCCATAAGTTCAAAAACATAAAGACTTAGGAGTGATAATGAGTCACGATTTGAAAACAACTACACATTGTAACGCAGCTGCTGCTGAAGGCCTTCGTGCGTTACAGTCACCTCACCGAGCATTCAAATACCTTAACGAGATTCTTCGGATTTTATATCACACCTATGTAAGACCGCACTTAAAGCACTGTATCTAAGCATCTGACCTATTTCTAATCAAGGGTCCCAACTCCCCTGAGCGTGTCCATCTGTTTTTCTCATCGAGTCGTCGATGACCGAAACGCCTTACCCGAATAAGTGGTATCATCCCCATCAGTGAACATTCTCACAGAGAACCTGGACCTTCCCTGGAAGGCAAACTCAGGATTAACCACAGGTCCACAAACCTACCATCTGTATTACTGAAGACTGGACTGCTTAAAACGCAAAAGACTATATAGTTTCATGTATATGTTACATTTAGACTCGGGCTTGGTCTCACATTCCCTAACTTAACAGTACATTCTTGTTGATTAAAACTGCTATTCCTGCATAAGATCTGCACATTCCTGACCTCTATTTAGGAAATAGTAAGCAAGCAACCTGATTTTCAATTCTCATGGAAGTGTTGATATTTTAATGTACATGGCATAGCACGACAGGTGTGTATAACATCAGCTTATCACAAGTGTTTATTAAAGACTTTTTGGACTCAAGTAGATCATCTCTGAGTCTTAGTTTGGTTTTTCAGTATCAATGCCTTTTATTTATTTATTTATTTATTCGAACACATAAATGTTGGTACAAAGGGGCACCGAATACACATGCGCCACACAAGTCACTTGATTTATGTATGGGCTGTGATACTGCCCGGGTGCTCAGATCTAAGCGGGTGGTTTTCTTAAGGGGCAACACCCAGAACCTTCGACCTAAGTGTCTGATCCACAAGGTAGTAGATCAACGTCAGGAGATGCAGTCCCATGGTAGCCGGTGACCAATAATTGGTTCATACGCCATTTGTTTCCTTAGGATCCTGGACTCCATATGCACCATTGGTTTTCCAACTCCCCTAGGTGGACTCTCCGTGTTCACCAACCCGGTTAAAGCGCCGGACATCCGCTTTTCGTCCTCCCAATTTCGTAAAAATACACCCCGCCTCTAGAGGGGCGTGGTCGTATACACATGGCCATTTGAGGGGAGCTAACTCTCCGCACTTCGGCCGTACCAAACCACTCGGGGGCTGGTCCTTAATCACTTACTATTAAACCTTTCAGGAAGTGTTTCTGCGAAGATTTTGTTTTTTTGAAGAACGACATTCACTTTTGCATTCGTGGGAATATTTGTATACTCTCCCTTCACCAAGTTTTGGAAAACAGATATGCCTACCTGCTCGAAATTGTCGTTGTATCCCTCAACATTAAGTTACCGTCCGACCCTGTAGGTCGATAGGTTTCATGTGACTCACTGAAAACCGTACCAAAAAGTATACTAGTCTCATGCAGGCTCTTTTCAAACGCTACGCGGCGAGTCAGATATTATGACAAACTATCATCGGGATTGATAGCTTCAACTGGTGTTCTTCAGAGTTGTCCGTTTTGCCCATTTTTTGTCTAACTTTATCATAGACATTCTTTTAGGGTTAACACTTCTCGTAAAACTTTTCAGGAACTGATCTATCGTTGACTCATAATACGCAGGTGATATAGTCTTATTTAGTGTAGGCACTGATGAAATGTAGTCTTTTGTCCTCCTTACGCAACAATGCTACTGAATTATGCTAGCTTATTCAAGATGCATTTCTCTCCCATTAAACTTGAAATATTGCTTCATGACTGATTTGCGTCAACGCTTTAATTAACGATAGTGAATGGAGTAGCTGAGCGTGTCGACCACTTCACTTAAAGGTCTCATCAACCATGATGGGTTGGGGTCTGACAAAATTTTGACACGAATTCAGAAAGCTGGGTTGGTGTTTACTAACCTATGTCACGTAGCAAGATAACTTCCTGCTAACTGAATGTGAACCTACTGGGCAGCAGTTAGCTCCGTCCTACTGCACAGATGTGAAACGTGGCATATAGAAATAGATATTTGTAGGTTACTAGTATTCGATTACAGACGTCTTTGAAGCATTGGTTGTATATGTTGAGACTATTGCGTTAGCAATTCTATGGTTAGACTGAAGATATTAGGTTAGGATGGCAAATTAGTTGATGGAGTAGTGAATCTTTATCGATTGAGGTGGTCAGCATACATATTATTTGTGCCCAGCTACCGTCTACCTCAACGCTTGATGTCGTTTAGTGTTTTGTATTAGGTTATAAGACCAAAGCAAGACATGGTATCTATTCATTAAGACACTGACTGTGGGCCTAAGTCATGTAGATATGTGTGAATTATCTGGAATGGGTATTCGTGATTATCGTAACTAATCGTTAGAGTTTAGGTGATATGGCTCACAATTGTTCACACTGTCGCAGTTGCATTCACACCCTATCTTCCTTTGGGTCCTAACTGTTTAATTTACCTCGTAAGTTTATTTACTCGGTAAATCCATGTTTACTTCTTAAATAGTAACTTTACGCATAATCTTTTTGCCACCAATATTGTTACTACCTCTAACACTCTGAATTCCGCTCTAACAAATCTCATTTCACTGTGCTGATGGGGTATGGCAACTCAAACCGATGCCCTACTTTACTGACTAAATGACCGTATGACTAATTGAACATAATTTAGTACATCATGTATTGAAAATCATACCGTTTGGTCCGAACCTGTGGTCTTTTATAATCGCACATAAAACTAAGGATATTGTTTGTATAGATGTTTTACCACCGCTAGCTAATAGTGATCATTCTGTTTCGTCATTCACGTTCAGGGCATGTGATATGATTTGCAATCTGATTCAACCTTCCTCAAACGTGTAGTGGACAAACATTTCGGCCACCAAGGAATGTAGTGTTGCAACGGACTATCCAGTTAACACTAGCTAGTTTATCAAAGGAGCATAGTTTATATTTAAAACTACATTTAGTTTAATTACCTCCCCATTTACACCGCACATAATACTATGTAGACCTAATAACTGTATCATGGATAATAAAATAGGCCAAGAAACTTCGTAAACATAAGGAGAGAGATTGGGACATGTACACCTCTAGCGGCTCTGAACAGTTCTGATTCGCATACTGTAAGAGTTTT